CATTGTGCTTGACTGGCTTCACTTTTAAAAATAAAATTAGTTTTGATATGCATCATTTGAAAAAATCGAGAGTGGGTGAGGGAAACATGTGTTATAAAAAATTATTTTCGTCCTAAAAGATACTACTTTTTAACTTGAAAGTGGTTGCAAAAATTTTAGAGTTATGGTATAAAAAATGCTGGGGTTGGCATGTCTAGAAAGGATGTCATAGAGCGTATCTATAATTTTTCCTTTATTTTTTACGACAACTTTCTAGTCTTGAGAAAGATTTATGGGCCCATTCAGGGTTCTTAAACCTCCTTGGACCACTTCCAAAACCTATCAACTCTATAAAAGTGCTGCAAAACTATTTTTATCTTATTTTGCTTCCCCAACTATATTAAAATCATAATTAGTGATTAATTGAACTCCAAACCCTTGTACCTACTCTCAACTTATCTTGGTCCAAACTTCAAACCAAAACTCACATCACATTTGCTAATCTCTATTAGATAAATTCATGTACAGGGTTGAATCAATCTATTCAAACATTATCGAGAAAAATTACATGAAAAAGCCGAAGTTGCATCCCAAGCACCTGCATACCACATTTGAGGAATAATCACAAATTTCTTATTTACAAGATATAGGATTGGTCCTCTTTACGTTAAGAACTTTGATCATGTAATTTTTATTGTAAAAGTATATAATGAGATCATCTATCTTTGGTACAAGGTGGACACAATTAATCTTGACCATTGAATGTGAAATTAGATGGATGCATTATTTCATTTATCAAGCTCAAACTTCAAAAAAAAAAATTCCGAATTTCGTAGCACACAAAAGCTCTCCAATTTCACATCACATCACATCGTTGTAAATAATTGTGACCTCCTTGTATAAAAAATAAATAGTCACATTGTATACCATCTCAATTTTCTTCTTAAGACACTTTACATCGAGCCACTAGAGAGTCATTTCCATTTCATTCTTGTATATTTCCTTCGTATATTTTTACACATTTTTACCATCGGAGAGATGTAGGGCTGGCAACGGGCTGGGCCGGGGTCGGACCATGCCATTACCATCACTAGAAAGGTACATGCTCAAACCTTGCAAGTACTTAAAAAAAATAAAATGAATTAATATTTCTATTTTTCTTTTCTCTTCTCTCTCTCTCTTAGAGTCTAAAATATTTTCTCTATCCCTCAGACCTTGATGTGTTTTCTCTCAATGTGGTTAAATTATGCCCTACTTTAAGGTTTATACACACTATTAAATTGGGGTAGGCGCACAAATGAACTATTTATCTTTTATACATGAAAGTCACAATCATTCTTGTTATGTAAATTTTAAATTGAGTGGTTGTAAGAGTGTTCTAAAATAGACATAAAATTTAGCAAAAAAAATTCTCGAAGTTCTTGACTCACGCCAAGCCATTTCATTTGACTCAATATACAAAAGATAAAAAGAAAATATCTTGTTATCCTTTATTTTTAACTTCGATATCTTATTAGATTCAAGAATTGAAAATGTTACTTGTAAGCAAAATGACTCCATCTTTTTTATCTTCCTACCCCCTAAATTTTGATCATGTATTATTGACCTTAACAACTTATGAAATGACTTTATTTCTCTCTCTAAAACTCCATCTCTCGTATCCTCGTCTCTCTCAAACTATCTCTCTCTAAAACCCCAAAATCTATATCTCTCTCTCACATTATCGTCTCTCTCTCTCAAAACTCCATCTCTCACACACATAAGAAGGTGTTCTCGTGTTCGAGCTCAAGCTAAACCCCTTGGTTGGTAAACTCACCAAAAAACAAAAAACGAGATGGAGTTTTAGAAGGAGAGATCTAGAGTTTGAATATGGTGTTATTTTAGTGTTTGTTTAGATCAAAAATTTATAATAAAAAAAATTTAAAAGGTGGTAAGATAGAAAAAATAGAGATATTTTACTTATAACTAATATTTTTATTTGTTGAGTTTTAATATAAGATATGAAAGTTAAAAATAGAATATAGGATGTAGAAGTTAAAAATAAAAGGTAAAGAGATATTTTCCGAAAAATAAGTGGTGTTTTTGCCTTAAACCAGATATTCGAATAAGATGCAATTTCTGATAAATGGTCCCAATGCACTGATTGTATGGTGACGACCCTCATGCCTCTGTATTCCATAGTTTAATACTCACCCTTTTAAATTTCTCTGTAAATTTGTTTCTCTCTCTATCTCCATATCTTGCTTTGAAATTTTAGAGAGAGACAGGACTCATTCCCCTGGATTTGACCTTATGGATTTCCTTTTTGCCAGACACGGTAATGACGAAGGCTTTCTTGTCTCCTTCCTTGCTCTTTCCTCTGACTTCTCTCCCCTCTTCACCAATGGCTTCTTCCTCCCCGAAAAAGAAGAAACAACAAATACTAAAATGCTCGTTCTATATCTCTCCTCTCTCTTCATCTTCTTAAACACCTTCCGTTTCACTCTCTGAAATCATGGCAAGAATTGGAGAAGTGGGGTAGTTTCCATGTGACGAGGCAACCCCTGGGAAACTTCTTCCTCGGTTACTTTCTCTCTCTATAAAATTTGCAGGCGTCTTTTAAGAGAGAGAAATGGAGCAACCAGAGATTCAAGGGTTTGTGATAATCTCTTTGCCTCCTCCCGACGACCCATCGAAGGGCAAAACCATCACTGCTTTCACCATGGTTTCAGACCCAAGTCATCAAAACGAGAACCAGAGCCAAAACCAACAAACCCAACAACCCCAAATTGCGTCGAATTCAATTGCGGGTTCGTCTAGAGGGAGAATTGGATCGATAGTTGTGAGAGTTTTGGCCATGTTGGGTGCCGTTGTTGCAGTCTTATTTTTTTGGCAATGGGTTTCTGGTTTCTCTGAGATGGATTATGAGACAGAGAGATCGAAGAATAATCCTTCGTTTCTGTATAATTTATACCCGAAGTGGAGCGAAGAGGCGATAGAGAAAGATGCAGCTTTGAGATTGGGCACTTTTGTGAAGAGAGACGAGGTTAGGATTGGATTAAGGGACGTAAAAACATTGGAAGCGATCTCTTCTATCAATTCTTCAACCATTTTCCCTGTAAAAGGGAATGTTTATCCAGATGGGTATGCAAGCATTCTCTCCTGTTTCATTTCCGTAGTCTCAAGAAATCCATATTAGGGGATTTGATCGTTTTGATCGAACTGAACGTTTTGTGAGAAACCTCTGAATTTCATAGCACTCAACAATGTTAGCTTGAAGTTAGCATATTATAGAGGTGAACTATTTTGGGTTGGTAAAAACGGAAGTTCTTCTAAGGTTTAATAGGCCCTGGTCCTGAGGCATTCTCATTCTGCTTTAATCTTCGTTTATAATTTTGTTTTCTTCTTTTACTAAACATTTAAAGTTCATCACTGTTATATAAACATAGTCAATTAGACTTATTTAACCCCAAAATTAGTAAATTAGCCTCACCTATTCATTTTATTCAATTGCAATTTTGTTAGCTTTGGATTCACATATTAGGCTGTCACTTATGGGGTCCCTACCATACCAAAAAAACTTAGTGCTAATCTTTTACTGAAATGGTTTGGGCATGTATGTGATCAGGGTTTATACCTTTAGTACTGACTTTACTTTTTGCACAATAATTCACTAAAATCATCTTTCAATAATTCAGAAAACCATTTAGCTATTTAGAAGTTTGTTCTCTGATATGATTAGCTATACTGAGGAAAATGAAGGGGGTGAATGGCTATGGTGGAAGGGAATCCTGAATTCTCATGCTGCTCCAGACTCCTAGGTTGTTGACCTAATAAAATAGTAGCTTTTACGGCCTTCATTGCATTGTGTACTACTTTATATAATCAATTATATATTGCTGTTAAATCGAAACCCAAAATAAAAAGATACGGGTATTTCCTGCTTCTTGCATTTTGTTGCTTTGGGGCTTGGGCTATATTCTGGTCGATTATGGAGCCTGGCTGACTCTTGATCCTCTTGGTATTCTGCAGGCTTTATTATATCTCCATACTTGTCGGGAACCCTCGGAGGCCTTATTATCTTGACATGGATACTGGGAGTGACTTAACTTGGATTCAATGTAATGCTCCATGCACTAATTGTGCCAAGGTACTCAATTAGGTTATTTAACAAGTAAATTTAGTTCTTTCTTGTGAGAAGATTTTCTTCATGGCCTTAAATATATAATGAAAAGAAAGATAAATTTACTGGAGGCCATAAGCATAACTATAAAATAATGCCTTTTGTGAGTAAGCATGTGAAACATAATTCAAACTGAAAGTTATTCTTAGTTGTTACATACATTTCAACATTTTTGTAGGGGCCCCATCCTCTTTACAATCCTAGCAAACAAAATTTAGTACCTTCCAAGGACCCATTTTGTTTGGAGGTACAAGTTAATGACAAGGGAAAATTCGCTGGAGCTTCCCACCAATGTGACTATGACATAGAATATGCAGATCAGAGCTCTTCGATGGGTGTTCTTGTGAGAGATGATTTGCAGCTAATGATCACAAATGGAACTGTGATTAAAACTGGCTTGGTTTTTGGGTAATGTATTAATGACCAATTAACCATCTTGTAGATCTGAATTTTTTTGCAGTTAAGCTTTGAAAAAGGAAGATTTAATTTACCAAAATAAATTAAATTTTAACTTGGAAACTTTATTTCTAGATGTGCATATGATCAACGAGGCAAGCTAGGACATTCTCCTGCAAAAACAGATGGGATCCTTGGACTTAGTAGTGCTAAGGTTAGCCTTCCTTCTCAATTGGCAAGTCGAGGACTAATGAAGAATGTGGTAGGCCACTGCATTAGAAATGATGCAAATGGTGGTGGTTATATGTTCTTAGGGGATGATTTCATACCTCAGTGGCGTATGACTTGGGTTCCCATGCTTAGTAGCCCTTCCACGTAAGTTTAATTTCTAGTTAGTATATTTCTCTGAGAATTTAATATATTATTTAGTGTTTCTTCAGAAAAATTTCATTTGCCTGGGAACTCAATTGACATAGAATTTTTAAGTCTAATGGGGGCTGAAACTAAATTTTGAGTATCACAGTCAATATTTGACCAAAGCTTTGTTCTGAATAAAAATGACAATTTTGATTAGTAGAGGAAAACATTCTAGGTTGGCTGTGGCAGATTTGAATGTAAGAATAAAATCGAATGTACCAATTTGAGTTACAAAGTGCACAGAAGTAGATGAAGTCATTTTAGAAGTTGAATTTTCTGCTCATGTTCAATGTTTTAACTCTAAGACATGAAATTTATTTGTTGTCTGTAAGGAACTGAAGTGCAGAACCAAAAATCATTTAAATTTTGCTGGGATAGATGTTGTCTTGTCAATTGCTGGTGAACATGTGTTTGGATAATGTATGACTACTGAGTAAAACAAGGAAACATCCTCTTGCTTCATTTCATTTTAATTGCTTATGCTGGCGGTCCAGAATCTTGGGATTTTGGTGGTGTTCAGTTAGTTTACTGTTGTTTGTTACTTTTTTTTATCAGGCATTGTTACTACCTTATTATGGTTTTGTTGATGAAAACTTATTATGGCTTTCATTACGTAATTTTTTAAATTTTTAAATCCTCTCCTTTCTCTGCAGAAATGCCTATCATGCAGAAGTTTCTAAAATTAGTCTTGGAAGTAGACCAATTGATGGAGGTGGCCTAATTACCAAGATTGGACGAGTAGTGTTTGATAGCGGAAGCTCTTATTCGTACCTCACTAAACAAGCCTACACAAGCTTAATAAAATCTGTGAGTACTTATAATATCGTTTTGGATTATATCCTTAATTCACATCTTTATGTTTCCACTGATACAAACTGAAGTAATACCTTGGCAGCTGAAGGATGTTGCTGAGAAGGGACTAGTTTTGGATGATTCAGACAAAACATTACCAGTTTGTTGGAAAGCTAAATCTCCCCTCAGGTACTATGCTGAGGTATCACAGCCCCAGTTTTTCTGGATCATTAATATCTTCATATATGTATATAACACGATCAAGAAATCAACTCAAGAACACCGACATAAACCCCTAGAAAATTGTGGTACTTAAATTTGGTGTTCATGCTAGTTCACATTCATTATCATGAAAAATTGCTCTTTCCAATCTAGCTGTCCATGGAATGCAAAACTTGGTGTAATAATTGCAGGTCCATTAAGGATGTGAATCAGTTCTTCAAACCCCTGGTCCTTAATTTTGGTAGCCGCTTGTTGTTTGGATCGAAGAATTTTGAAATTCCTCCCGAAGGTTATTTGATCATCAGTGTGAGTATTCCACGAGATTCTTATTTCTTTTGCTATGCGTCTTTGATGAGTATTATGAATGACATTATGAACACGTAAGCCCAGAAAGTTGTATTTCTATGACCTCTCACTTCATTTGTTGTGTGTATCTTCACTGATTATGTTAATGGCATTGTTTCAAGTGACCCAAGGCAACGTTGCTCGAGAAACTTACTGAACAATGGAGGTATCGTTTATTGTGTGCAGGCCAAAGGCAATGCTTGCTTGGGTATCCTTGAGGGAAGTCACATTCATGATGGTGCAACTAATATACTTGGAGGTGAGATCTCAAATATATGCTCGATTTCTATGACTATGAGCTATAAATCATAAGAATGTGCACCATTCTATTACAAAGTAGCAAGAATTTTGTACGGATCCCCTGGCTTATGTTGTAATGCGTACTGCAGTTGCTTCATGTAATATGCATACAAACATTCATGGTTTCAGTGACATTGCTATGTTTGGATAGGGCTAATTATGCATGATGGAATTTTCTTTCACCCTCTTTATGGTTTCAGTGACATTTATATGTTTGGATAGGGTTAATCATGCATGATGGAATTTTCTTTCACCCTCTTTTTTTTTTGAAATGGAATTTGCATTGGCTGTTGCAGATATATCCTTGCGGGCCAAGCTAGTAGTCTATGACAATGTGAAGAGAAGAATTGGATGGGTTCAATCAGATTGCCAGCCTCTAAAACTTAAGAGCTTCCCCTTCTTTTGAGTTATCACCATATCTATTTGTAAATGCTACATGGCAATGGCATCATATCCTTTATGTACCCAATTGTTATAAATTTCAAGGGTGAAGTTTGTACAAGGTGCCCTAGCGCAAGTCTAAATTTTGTTTAGTGCAGTCTCAGTTTTGGAAGACTTAAATTCTGTCTCGTACTACTGTGTTACAAAACTAGAGTTAAATACATATATGGTGACCAAACGAAACAGCGACTTAGATTTTAGCCTTATGATGATAAATTTGAAATCCATAAAAAGGATCTAAGTACAAAATTGTTATTCTTCTGGCATGAGACATGAAATACACACACAACATGCAATTCTCACGCATAATAATATAAGGTTGCATGCATTTTCTCTTACTTCATGTTCTATGGACTTTGGTTCCCAACCATGGATGGTTACGAAAAGGAATAACATCCTCACTTTGAAAATTTACGGTCAAGTGAAGTACCACTTTGAATTGCACTAAAGATTAGTGCTTATTTAATGATGCTTCCTTCCTGCCATTTATTCAATGTTTAGGCTTTGGACAGAATATATGTATTTAATGTTTAGGCTTTGGACAGAATATATGTATTTTCAATTAGTTTTCAACGAAATGGAATTTTCTCTTTACATGTATATAATCTTGCATCCTTGTATAAACCACAACCTTTATATGAAGGGATTATTTTTTATTTGAGATTATATAAAACAACTTTGACGCGCCGTACAGAAAAATTCCAAAAAGGAATTTTGAGTTCCTAAATGCTAGATGTTACCATCCTTCAAATGAGCCTACACTGTTCAAGCAAACATTATTGGACCACTTTTAATATGTTATTTTCATTTTTTTAATTTCTTTGCTAATACTACTTTTTTAAAAGACTAATTGCCATGATGAAAGATGGGATGGTATAGCATCCGTATCATGTGCAGGCTTAAAGTGTGCACAAATACCTTTCAACGGTTCATATTGAATCTAGGCTTTTGTTATTTTTATTTTTTGATTTTATATTTATAACTGACTTTTTACATAAAAATTCAGGCATACATATATCCTTATTCATGGCAACCAAAAAATGACCAAATTACTGTTGAGTATTTAAAGATTGTTTTAGCCATGTTTTATTTGTAAATTATTTTTATTTAGTACACTCTATAAATATGCATGTACCCCATAATTAAATTCAAAAATAAAAATAAAAAAAGATAAAACCAAATTAATTTGTGACCATCAGATCTGCCATAATGTAATATATGTTGTTGAAAGGGTGCATGTACCCTTCAAGTGTCCACATCCTGGATGAAAAATATGATTTGCAAAATTTGGTTTTCCATATTTGATTACCAGAAGATACGACTTCTAAAAACTATTGGTTTCAGTACTTTACCACTTCCCCCAATTTCCCTATGGAAGCCGTGGCTTCCAAAATTGGTGCAAGAGGCGAATCAATTTTTCATCCTTTTACAATTTTATCTCAAATCCTTGCCATGGCTCATAAAAAGAATTGTAATATTCATATTTATGATTTACTTTTGAAAAATTGTTTCATGCGGGCCGGATGGCATTTCTACATATACGGTCTAGAAAGTGTAAAGCATCCATATTAATTATTAAAGATGGATCCAAGTAGGTGTTCCATCTTAAAAAAATAGATACTAATGGTCCAAATTTTTCTTACTAGTATTATTATTATTAGTTTTAAAATTTTATTTATTTATTCATATTCTTGATCTCCATATTAAAGATTACATGTCCTTAAAACTTAAGTCTTAAAATCCATCTCAAAAATAGATTTATTAAGAGTCCCATATTTCTACATATGCGGGCTTGGTCGCATAGAAACCGGGTCCTTTTTCATGTATCAATAAAAATGCTAGAATAATTTCTAAAAGGAAATACTATTTACACGCATATTTATCCTGCTTCCATAGTTTCTTTGGGAATTTGAATTCAAGAAACTTTATTTATCATTGCAAAGTAAAAAAAAGACGAAAATGCCAATAAATTCCCAAGATATTTCCAAATTTTCCAATGGGTCTTTTAGTTTTTATTTTTTGAAGGCATCATCTTCAAACTGCCTTCTAAAATATTCATTCATTTTTTCAAATACGATTTTGTATAACTTATCAAGAAAAAGCTTTACAACACTAGTCCCAACCATTTGGTATTGATATGGAACACCTAGCTAGATTGGCTGCGTTTTAGTACATTGTTTTAACACAGTTTTAAATTTTGTGTTTTTGGAATGGGAATTGTTGATCCGAAACAATGGGGACCGATCCCATTCCTAGTCAGGAGTGGTGGAGAAGTAGGATCAGGTGTGATTCACATAGACTCACCTCGCTCGTTTAGAGAACCAAGCGAGTCTATAAGAGAACCAAGCAATTCGGATCCCGGGTCCCACTTGTTTTCTTTGTATTTTTCAACTTTTTATTTTCAAAATTAAAATTATTATATACTTTATTGGAACCAATTTTCAAACTGAAGAATTGATCCAGTTCAACGACCAAAATCTCCATTTCATCCATGTAGACTGGATTTCCAGAATAACGGTTTGCCTGGCCGATCCAGTATTCTAATTTCCAAACCCTAGTTTCAAATGAAATGCTTTGAAAAGTGTGCAAACCTAAAGGATGGATGGACCAAAGAAAATATGTGGTCATGCTTGAACTTTGATAGACTAAGAAAATATAAAATTTGGTCATGTATTTGTGGGGAATCTATAAGGGAACCCTTCCAAAATTCAAATGGTCCTAATTAAAAGTTGGGTGATTTTGTACAAGGCTCTAAATAACCTTAATTATAAAAATTTAAAGCTTCAAAAAAAGTGTAGATCAAACACATCAATGAAAACTTGAAAATCTTGAAAATTGACAATCCAAAAATGCGTTACAAGATGCACTATTTTCAAAACTTGAAATCTATTTTTTTCTTATGTCCATACATCTGGATGTCGAGATGATCAATTTGAGAATATTTGAGCATCAAAACAACCTCATCTAGTGAAAATTTTGATATGGGCTCTAATTTGATTAGTTAGAGCCTCAACTCGATATAAACTTTTTCCTTAAAAGTTTGAAAGGGTTTTTTTTGCCCTTTTAACTCATGTACCTCATCAAAAAAACGTTTTAAGATTGGGATGAAGGAACAATCAGTGGTATTCTAGTCATATGTCCTTAAGAGTCTCCAACCCAATGATAGAAATACCCCTAATAATTCCATAATAAATATACTTGATTAGTAATAAGGAACAACTAGGGGTATTTTTTCCATTACATGCAAGACATTTGGTGCCAAATAACTGAAATATTCCTAATTATTCTTCTTATATAAACAATGTGTTTTATATTTGTAATGAGAAACAACTAGTGGTTTTTTTGTTATAGGGTTGGGGCTTCTTGGAGGTGTCAAATTACTGAAACGGCACAGATCGCTCCTCTTTCCTAATTCTGAATAAAGTCAATTTGAAATTTTATTTTTTAAAAAATATGCTCAAGTTAAATTAGAAAGAAAAACCAAACTCTTGATTATTAATTGAGATCATTTGATATCTTCAATGATTTTGTAAAAAGTCTCAAACCCTTAAATAATATTTGTTTTTAACCCATTCTTGCACCATGCGCTTCCATCTATTGCTTTGATGGTAACCAAGGATTATAAATTCTTGAGTTAACAATTAAAAAAGCTAATTAATGTAAAAAAAATTGGAATTAAAAAGTAATCTCAACTTTTACAAATTATGTTGAGATCTATTTTTTTAATCAATTTTTTCCTTCAAAATATCCCTATTCGATTACCTGAAGTGTTGAACCGAATTTTTTGTTTTTTGAGAAGCCAATTTTAACACTTGCAGTATCGTACCACCTTCTTAAGGTACTTGTCATTCCGACACTTGACTAAGTAGAAAACTTGCAAGAGCAAAACAAAAATTAAAGAAAAACAAAAAGGAGAAATGAAAAGAAAGTTGACTGAGCCAAAATTTTTTTTTGCCAAAGGCTGTTCTATGGAGAAGTTGGTCTGTGACAATTGGACTAACCTCTCAACAAAAAAAAATAAAAATAAAAAAAAATAAAAATCAAGTCCGGTTCTTTAAGTGTCGAGCCTAGATGACACTTCAAGTATTAGGCCAGGGTTATTTTGAGCCAAAGAAGCCGACATAAAAAGGGACATCGACTTAAATTTTGAAAATATCGGGATTAATTTAATTATACAATAAAATTTTAAAAAATGATATTATAAAAGTGCACCTCAAAAATCCAAAAATCCTACAATTGATCATATTGACCTCAAGGTATATGGATATAACAAAAAAAAAAAAAAAAGATTTCAACTTCTAAATTTAATGTACCTTGTACCAAATTATCTTTTTTTTTTTACTATTTAGTAGATTTTTATATAGAATACAAAAAATTACAGTATCAACAAAAAAAAAAAACAGAGGAATAGAAAAGACTAGAAAATAAATTAGAAGAAAGTTTTGTGAGAAAAAGGGCTCGAAAGGGGCACAACAATCATATGTGTGGCCTCCTTCGCTAAAGCAACAGCTGCATTGTTCTTCTTCCTATTGACATGACAGAATGCAATCTCCCATGAAAAAGAATTCATCCATGATCATACCCACAAAATAGAATTAGGTTGTCTGCACCATCCAATTACATTTGGTGAGTCTCCTGAATAACCCCTTCCCTCCTTGAGTGCCCATAGTTCGACCTCAATAACCCCCTAAATCCTGCTACCTATACTTCACTATTAACGCCTGCCATCAAAATGGAGCTTCAACAGGTAAGTCCCGGTAGAATCTTAGATGACTCTAGGAGGCTCTACCATTTCTTAAAGAAAATTTTTTTGGCGACGCTCTTGAAATTTTAGAATACTCGTTGTCTAGTACATCTTGTATCACATTATCTTAACTGTCCATTTATTTTTCAAAGGAAACTTTAAGCTTTTATAGATCTGCTCACTCTATATTACCTTTAGAACTTTAAATTACGTAATTCAAGACAAAAGTAGATTTGACGCTTCGTACAAACCGCACCCAAAATTTTTTTGGCCGGACAAAGATTGAGGACTGGAAATTTCATGACCCTTGCAATCACGTGAACCCTAAACAAAATATTTATAGGGCACAGTGGACCTGAACCCAATATAGGTTTGGGTACAGGTCCAAGAATTGGACCTAAATAGTGTTTAGATCCAATATTTTGACATGGACCCAACCCGTCGAGTCTTATTTATATTAGTTATTATTAATATACTAACACTACTCGATCCAAATAGTGTTAGGACATAAATAATATCTAATATATAATATAATTATATATTTTAATTATAATATTTAAATAATATATGTATATATCTAGATGGGTTGAGTCCGGCCCAACCTATTGCTACCCCTAAATAATTATGGGATTTCTTTTTCAAAAGGTTTTGACTATTTTTCAATTAAGAGAATGTTGATCTTCTAATCTATTTCCCTTAAGGTATGTTTGGTTCATTTAAATGCGTATGCAAATAATATACCATGGTAAAATAATAACTGGTAAAATGTATGAAACCACACCTCTTCACATGTGAAAATATTTCCTGGGGAATTTTTACACACATGGAGCCAAACTTTTTATCAAGCCCGACCAATATTCACAAAATCGGCTGATCTAACTACAAACGGTTCGATTGGATCAGAACTAGCCATTTGTTTTGGGCGGTTTTGGTGATCAACCAGTAATTAAAAAAAATTAAAAATATATATATAAATTCTCAAAAATCAAGAATTTGATTTGTATTGCATTTTTAAATATTCTTTACATTATCATAAAGACAAAAAAAAAAAGTTTTGGTCATTAATACTCTTTTTTATATTTTTTTATTTTTTTGAAAAATTATAAAAATAGCTTTAAAAATATATAAAGTAAGTTAAAATTTATTTTTTTTATTAATTTTCAACTTAACCACTTCCAAACCCATTTACCGTTAACCGTTGCGGTTCGATTTTGCGAGCATCTATTCCGACTAAATCGCAGAGACCCCCGTGCCCCTCGTCTCTCTCTCGCGCTAAAACCTATTCCTCTCTGAGAGCATAACCATCCCTCTGTACTCTGCCCTCTGCGAGCTACCATTTCCTCTGTCCTCTGCGAGCTACAGAGCCATCACAGAAGCCCTCAAACCCTAGCGGAGCTCTCTCTCTCTCTCTCAGTTATATTTCTCTCTCTAGCCCTCACAGAGCTCAACTCTCTTTCACAGGTATGTGTAGATCAATTTTTTATGCATTATCTAGAAAATACGTTGTTTGCAAGATGGATGTATCACTTAGCAGTGCTTGATGCTGAAATTTGTGTATATGTTGAATTTCTTTGTGTTTTGCATCTGGGTACTTTTGGACACCCAAGATAATATGTTGGTTGCAAGATGGATGAATCACCGAGCTCTCTCTCTCAGTTCTGTTTCTCTCTCTCTATACAAAATTGGTTTGTTGGGATGAATATGTTGAATTTCTTTGTGTTTTGCATCTGGGTACTTCTTCTTTTGTTGATAGAGGATATTGGAACAATTTGGTTTCACCATTAACTTGTAAGCTGTTCAGTTCCAAAGGTGAAGGTATTCTTGAGCTTTTCTTCTGGGTACATGAGTAGAATTAATAATGAGTTTTGTGGTCGTTTCTTTTAAGAATCTTTGTGATTTTCGAAAAGTATCATTTTTTTCTCCCAACTGATTGGTGCTTCGTCACTGCATCTTATTATTTATAATTGGGAGGAAGCTGGTTATTTATCCATTAGAATTCTTTCAGTTACCAAAAATTCCCTCTGTGGATCTCTTTATATTGTTTCATGAAGAACAGTTGTATAATTCCTTCTATGGGTGTTCAGTGTTTTGTAAATAATCGTGTTCTAAGACAGTGATGCATCTACCGACCTAGGGTTTATATTTGTGCCTTGCTGTGGCAACTCTGATCATCTGAACAGGGAAATTCTAAACTATGAACAATTTTACATTTTAATGGCTTTTGTGTGAGAAAGTGAAAATTTTCTTTTATGCGAGACTCTTTGTTATGTGCTACATAACTTTTTTAGGATGGCAAGAAGGGTTGTTACCGATGAGGAGTTAATGTTTGAGAGAAGAGCATTACAAAATGCTCATCAGAGGCGTAGAGATACAGGCTATACTCCAAATGCGAATGATACCGATAGCCCTCCAGGACTGTATGAAGAGATTGCTAATCGAATGTAGGAACGCTATCGAAATAGGCGCTAGGTTGTGATAGTTCGTAGCTTACCTCTCTTATGTTTTTGAAGGAATTGACACTTCATGGTTATGTAGTGGTAGTGGGTTTTTTTTTTTTTTTCTAACAGGTTGTGATTGAAACATTTACAAATCTCTCATCTTTCCACTAGCTATTCATGTATTATTTGTTGAGGACTATTCTCTTTAATCAATGCAGTCTTAGTATTGGGATGTGAGATGTTGTTGTGTGGTTTTATTATTTCAATTACTATAATGGATATTATTCTCAAATGCTAGCATTTATGATCCCATTCTCTTTTAAAAAGTGAGAGAGAGATTAATGTTGGGAATAATGAGGTAATTTGGGTCTTTTTATAGCATAATACGGCGAATTGCCCACTCAATTTAGAGGAATATAATGCGAGAGAGAGAACGAGAGAAAGAGAGAGAGTAAAGTCGGAAGAAGAGAGAGCAATTTTAAAATAGTAGCGAATTTCATTCTTTTTCTCAATGTTTGAGAGAGAGTGTATTTATTAGGGAGGAAGCGAGAGATGACTAAATAGTGGTGAATTAAAGCAAGTTCTATTCAAGGTTTTGTGTAAATATTTTCACACTAGTGCTACCAAACATATGAAATTGTTTACACAATGGTTTTTAAATGTGCTACCAAACATGGTAAAAATAATGCATGTGCAAATATTTGCATAGGTAAAGTATTTACTTGGGTAAATATTTCCCGGGGAATATTTATGCGCGAACCAAATGTACCCTTACAAAAATGTGACATAACTCATAAGAAGGTCGTTTTCTTACTTGTGGGTTGTTTTCTTACGTGTGGTGTTCTTCTTAATCTCTGAGTTTGTTATACTAGGGTTTGAGGCGTGGGCAACTTCTCGACTGAATCTTCCCTTTGTCAAAAGCTTGAACTTGCTTTTCAGGTAACAAACAACTGCATCCGTTACAACGACTCCCTCTCTCTCTCTCTCTCTCTCTCTCTCTCTTACAATGACTCCCTCTCTCTCTACAGTTCATTAATTAATTTTCTTGCAGAGTTTTGTTATTTCCATCAATGCTTTGTGGTATTCATGTTCATGGCTGTAATTATGACAAGCAAGTATACAATCTCATTTTTGTGCACTTGATGCTATTTTATGCAGACCTTAAGTTTCATATCTCTATGAACTGCAAAATGAGAGCTTGTTGTGTTACGTTGTTCTACATACATATTGGTTAATACTTTGTGCCTCAATCTAGCCATTTCACCATTAATTTAAAATTTTGAATTTTGAGTTTGGTTGCTTTCATTCTTTATTGAGGTAAATTTTTTGTTTTCCTTTGTTTGTTCATACTTTAACAGCTATGCCTTTTCAAAAATTCTTTGGTGAAATGCTTTGAAGAAGAAAAATGATAATGCTTTTCTCAATGTGTTTAATGAAGCTTCATATAGAAGTACAGTTCTGAGATGAAACTATATTGAAGGAACTTCAAGGGAAAACAAATTAAAAATTCTATGTGAGGATCTTAGTGATCATACTGATGATCCAACTTGACAGGTATGGAGAAGAAACCACAACGATTGCTAATACTCTATGCTTCACAAACTGGAAATGCCCTAGATGTTGCGGAACATGTTGAGCGTGAAGCTGGACGAAGGCACTGTCCTGCAATCGTGCTTTCAACCGACCAATTTGATGCGGTAAAGTTAATTGCTTTCACAATATTCATTATGCTATCCTTGCCTGAAGTTGCTTCTGTCTTTTTCTAGAATTATTCATATGAGGTTGATTACTAGTGAACTCATTGACTTGGAAGGGACATGTTTTGGATATCTAAGAACAAATTCAAATTGGATGAAGATACCCATAAAAAAAGAAAAAAAAAGAAGAAGAAAGAAAACCATAACTAGAGTTTTGATTATACAAGCATAAAAATTTCAAAGGATGGTTGCCATTTTTTCTGCCCTGATTATTGACAAATTTTTGTGATGTGTGCAATGTCATTTGTTGCCCTTGGGTTTCAAGCAAATGATTTAGACTTTATGTGTAGACCATTGAATGTTGTATCTTTCTAATATGCAGAGAGAGCTACCAAGTGAAGGAACTGTTTGCTTTATTGTTTCGACTACCGGTCAGGGGGACACACCAGATTCCATGAAGGTTGGTTTTGTTAAATTGGATGTGACAAACTTGAGGCAAAAGAATTCTTTATCTATAATTAGGAAATGATATGTGCCTTATGCATCTTGCCTAGTGTTGAATTTTGCAGGAATTTTGGAGATCCCTTCTTCAAAGAAATCTTAGCCATCAATGGTTGGAGGGAGTTTACTATGCAGTCTTCGGATTAGGTGATTCAGGCTATCAAAAATATAACGTATATTTCTCCACATTTTGTTACTGATGAATGGGAAGATTAGTCGTGTAATTTGTTAGATCTAAAAGCCTGTGGGTAGTGTGTGGTTATGAGTGTCGAGAAACTTTATATTGAGCTGTCTATATATTTAGGAGATGTGCATTCATATTTACCTAGACCTATAATATGGTGCGGATATGCCAAAAGCTGCATGTTTAAATAGAATATCTCAACTGGTTGAAGAGTATAGGTAGATCTGCAGCTAAATCTCATAGTAAACATCTTCTCTAGTATTTTGATTTCTTGTAATTCTTTCTCTTGGCTCCAGGTTGTGGCCAAGAAACTGGACAAGAGACTCACTGATCTTGGTGCGAAGCCAATCATTGGAAAAGGTCTTGGAGATGAACAGCACCCTTCAGGGTAGTTATAGATTCTTCTGTGTAATTTCTTGCAACTTTTTTTTTGGGAACATTTGTGATGATTCTAAATGCTTTTGCAGCTTTTTTCCCCTTTCCTTGTTGTAACATTTGTGATGGTTTTAAATGCTTTAGTTTGTTGTAATATTTAAACTAATTAATTTCAACCCAAAAATATAATCATGGAAGAACAAGCACAACAATGGATTCAGTTGTGTAAATTTTAAATTGAGTCCCGACTGGTCTCTGTCACATAATTAAGTTCATTTGCATGAAAGTCACTTGCATGATATCTTATATGCTATTTGAAGGAGGTCCAAAAAGAAGAAACAGATTCTGCTGTAAAAGAAAAAAAAAAATAAGTGCTCCAGTGTTGAGTATGTGATACTATATACTTGAGTTCTTGGGCCTGAAACCTTTCATTATGTATACCAGACCAACCAGATAAATTTGAAATTCTCTTCTGCGTGATGCTTAAAAGGTAGACTTATTTGTATATCTTGGGTGATGAGAAAGAGATCCCTTGCAAATTGTTAATGATGGGAAATGTATTTATGCAGCTAGGCATTCATTTTTAGTTGTTTTTTGGTTTGAGTCCTTAAAAATTGCATAGTGATATTTCCTTTGAGGAACATAGACAATGCTCTTTATTTTGTATTATTTGGGGTGCTTTGATAGGCATTCATGAAACAATCTTATCAAGAGACATATGCTGACCCTTTGTTACCCATTGGCTCCCTGTTAAGTCCCATCAGGGAACAGCGGTTGATGAGCTCCAACAGCCCTTGAAGGTAAAGATGGTGGGTGGTTGGTCAGGGCACTCTAAAATAGATAGAGCATTTTATGATGCCCCTTTATTTTAGGAAGGAAAAGAAATGTGACAGACAGCACTTTTTGACTGGATGAAAGGTTTGACCTTATTTCTATGTAAGGCACATACCAATAATAAATAAGAAGTCTTATGCAATTTGAATTATTAGTGTAAAGGTGTTTATACTAATTAAGATGGTCACGATCTTAGGGGCAGTTGACATGGAACGTCTATCTGTGATGAGAAGTTCTAGTGAAGTAATATTGCTTTGCCAAGTGCATCTCACTAATGGTTTATTGGATATAGAAATGGCAAAGGACGTGCCTCGCCTGATATAAACTCTCTGATGTATATTCTATGTTTCATGAATGTGTAAAGAGATTTCAATTTACCTTTTTTCTTAAAAAGAATAAGGAATCATATATCTTTAATAAAAGGAGTTCCAATTATTAGTTGTCACATTATGAGGAGAACATAGTGAACAATAGGAAATTAATCTTGTGCAATAGATTTTGTCATTTTCTATATGGAGATAAGTTCTAGGGTCCTTTTGGATTTTGTCATTTAGGACTAGTAATACAACAAAGGACAACTGAGTTCATTTCCATATAAATTAAGAGATATATTTCTAATTGATTGAAGAGAAAATTGTCATATGTCTATCTGAACTAATTATACTCTTTTGCAACTGCTTGCGTGTTTTTTTTTTGAGAGATTTACAACTGCTTGCTTTTTATGGTTTAGGCAATAAATCCATTTAACTTAAACTTTTGAGTTGAAATTTTACTTAAAATGTCTCTCACTATTTGGAAACTCAATTAATATGGAAGGCATTGATGATAATGGCAGGTATGAAGGTGATCTAGATCCATGGCTTTCATCTTTTTGGGTTACTTTAAAGAAGATGCACCCTTCAATCTTCACATGTGATACCCAGCTTTTTGACCCAAACATGAAAGTTCTGGACTATCCTAAATTTCAAATAATATATCATGATGTTGAGAAGGCACCATCCTATGTTTCAAGAAATATAGGTATTTTAACTTCTTTGCACCTATGATATATAATGATACTTGGGAATTTCGACGACTGTTTAAGCTGTGCTCTCTGTGATTGCTGTGAGGAATAATTTTTATTGCAGTTTTTTATTTCCTACAAGTTGCTGCATCTCTTTCTCTCACTCTCTCGGTGACACTCACACTCTCTCTCTCCATATTTGATTTTTTGCTTTTCCAGCAATTGCTAATCCTCTATATGTTCCCTTTCTTATCTTTGTCACTTGATATTTTTTGGAGGTTTCTTATGTAATTTTTTTATTGAAGTATCATGTTCATTAGTTTAAAGGTTCTAATTTAAGTACCAGAGTAATCATTCTCTTCAAATGTTACTAACCAATTTCTTTGGCTCATGAATATTGAGAACCAATATTGATTTCATTAGCAAAAGTTCTTCATTCAAATGGTATTGAAATTGAATCATACTACTACAGGGGTGTTTACATTGAATGACTTTGTGTCTTTTGTTCCAGATTTAAATCTTATGGAGATTGAAAGTGTCCGCACAATGACCCCTGGGAAATTTCCTCATCATGATTGTAGACGTCAATGCTTTGTAAACATGGTACTACCCCATGTCTTTTGATCTTTTTTGACAAGTAATAAGAACTGATTTTAACTAAACTGTGGGAAAAGTCAATGTGCTAAGAGTGCAACAACTTTTGATTTCATTTGCCCATTCTATATTTGCCATGCCATGAATTTAACTCCATTGCAAGGATTGTTGGACAATGTGTTTGAGTTATACCATATGCTTGAAGCTTGTGTTACTTCGTAGCACAAGAAATGCATACTGGACTAATAAATGGATCAAGAACATTCACAAAGAAATGCTAGCCTGTCAATCGGTTGCAATATTAACTATTTTATTTCTCTTAGATGCTTATGCGGAATGGCAAACGAAATTCCTGTTGTTTCTTTCATATTATAAAATATATGTTATCCATGGAACGAATGCTGAAGGGGTACGAACTGCTCCCAAGCTGTCCTTGCTTGCTTTATTTGTTGTGTTCATATTCTTCCCTGTTTGACCTGAAATACCAACATCATTCTTCTTTGTTTTACTTTTTCTTTCAATATAAATTCGTTAGTTCAGAACAGTTTGTATGGCTTTTCTTCAAAACGAAAATATTCGTTTATGACTTTTTTTATTACTGGGGCTTATTAAATATTACTCATCTGATTCTTTTTGTTATTTTCTTCTTGGATTATGGAAAGGCCAAAAATGTACGCTTAACTAACGAGGACGGTGACCGAGATGTGCGCCTTTTTGAATTCAATATTCTTTCATCAGTAAGTTCTGCACAATATCTACCATGCCAACTAAATTTTGCTCTCCTGTGTTTACTAATGTCAATTGGGGTTCCACCCATGTATATGACTATGGATCCTTGTAGGATACTGAATATGAAGTAGGGGACGTACTTGAGATCCTCCCATGTCAAAATCCTGCTGCTGTGAATGCTTTTCTTCAGCGCTGCAACTTAGATCCAGAGTCCTACATCAGTGTGAGTCCTTATGATCGGGTTCACTATTTGTGGTAGTCATGGAAGTTTTGCCTTGTGCTAATTTAAAAGTATATGTGTGTTACATTATTTATATTGTTCTTTATTTTTATTGACAAGCGTACTATTTTCTCTTTATAGTTTCCTTACAAGAGCGAAGAAGACAGAAATAGGGATACTAATATTCCTGCATGTACATAACTATCAGAAAAAGAGAAATATGAAGGAAAAAGAAAATTCCCTGCATGTACACTCCAGGTGACCAAGATAGGTTCATGTGTCCCATAAGCTGGCCTCGGCACTTAGGATTATACCTTAGACCAACGGCTGCTGCTCTGTATTCCATCTCAGAGACACTTCTATATTAACTCTATACACTTCAGTTTCATCTGAAATGAACTGCTATCTTCTGAGTCCCATAGACCAGTTAAACACAAATCTGAGATTATCTGCCACTCTCATTGACACCCCTGGAAAGAATAAAGTGCCATGCGGGTGCTGTAACTCCATCCCTTCTTATCACCCCAAAACCTCATATCATCTGAAAGAGAGAGGTCAACTCTGTTATATTATAGAGATAAGATGGCAATTGATATCGCTTTTGTAAACTCTTTGAACTGCGAAAGTATCCTTCTTATGATTCTTTTATTTGAATGGAGGAGAAATTGAGATGCACCCACATATCCTGTAGCACCATCTAGATCCAAATTTCATCAATTCTGTGCAATCCTCTATGAATCCTGCTCGTTTTGTTCCTTATGGTTTGATGGAATCGAAGCAGACTAGCTACTCCAGATCTAATGTTTACACTTTATCTCTGCCACTCAAATATATATGCTTTATATTCTCTTTGCCCCACGGAGATTCCAAACACATTTCTAAATTAATCTTGTACTTACTCTCTTGGTATAATCGCAATGTAGGAACTAGCAATTCACATGCTCTGCTTTAAAGTCTAGTTATTTGCGAGCCCTCAAAAATAACTTCTACGGAGTTTTGCCAATCAGTGGATAGGTTAAGAATGTGGACATGGACTTAGAAGAGGCTGCTACGCTGAAACTTCTGAAAAAACAAGAGGTTGTGGATCAGAAGATGGTCTAAAACAAAAATAGCTATATGGCTTTTTGTTTCTGCAACATCTGATGCTCTTGTTTTCATTTTGTTAATTATATTTTTTGTCTTCATAAAATAAATCCATTAACTTAAAAAAAAAAGAAGACAAATTAATTTAACTCTATTATATTAATGGGAAATATCGTACATAACCTTAATTCTCCATTTTATTTCACCGTAGACCCTCCTTCCATTTTTCTTTCATGCGGCATAAATAAACTCTCAAATATTTCACTTAACTCCCTCATCCCTTATTTCCCCGTCTATTCACTTTTGGCAATAAAAACTGACCCCAACAAATTATTTTATTCCATCTCAATCCAAAATCCTTTTTAATCGTTTTTTCCCCTGTTTTCATTTTCACTACGGTAATCTCTCTCTCTATACATCAAGGCACCAAGAAACCCTGATTTTTATATGAAGAACATACAAGAAATGCAGAGAAAAGGAGGAAAGATCAAAATTAATAGGGATCAGAGAGAGAGGAAGTGAAAAATAAGAACACAGATAACAGTGAGAGAGACACAGTGACCCTGCCTTCAAAACCTCAATTGCTCTCACCATCTGATACTCTCTCTCTTTGTCTTTCTCTGCCTTCGAAACCTCCATTCCTCCCACTGTTGGTGTCGTTGTCGTATTAAGGGATAGAGAGAGATCAGAAACAAAAGATTGATACAACAACGACACCAAACAGTGGGAGGAATGGAGGTTTCGAAGGCAGAGAGAGACAAAGAGAGAGAGTATCAGATGGTGAGAGAGAGAGAGACAAAGAGAGAGAGTATCAGATGGTGAGAGAGAGAGAGAGGAGAGAGAAAGAGAGAAACTTACTGTGAGAGGTGAGCAAACTTTGCCAAATGGAGAGAGAGCCCTTGCTATAGTAGAGAGAGAGATTACTGTAGTGAAAATGAAAACAGGGGAAAGGAGGGTTAAAAAGGATTTTGGATTGAGATGGAATAAAATAGTTTGTTGGGGTCAGTTCTTATGGCCAAAAGTGAATAAATGTGGAAATAAGGGATGAGGGGGTTAGGTTAAATATTTGAGGGTTTATTTATGCCGCTTGAAATAAAAATGGAAGGAGGGTCTACCGTGAAATAAAATGAAGAATTAGGGTTCTGTACAATATTTTCACTATATTATATCTACATCTGTAGCTGTGCATGTTAGTTTGTTATTTTTTGTTTGCAGTTGGATGCATGCAACTGAAGGTTTACATTCTCTAATTACCCAGGTTCAACTTGCAGATACTGCAAAAAGTCTTCCTGTATCTAAGCTAAACATATCATGCAAACCAATTAAGCTTAGAACTTTTGTGGAGTTGACAATGGATATTGCATCAGCTTCACCTAGACGCTATTTTTTTGAGGTAAGATGATGATTCAAAAAAACTTGTCTTATATTGTGTTTCTGGTCATTATGCTTTTATTCTCATCTTTGTACTTGTTGTGATTGTGATGCATGCTTGCAAGGGAAGAAATAAGGGAATGTGAACATGTTTCTGAATAGCTATAAATTCAAACATCTTGTAATTCTTATCGAGTTCATGACATTAGCAAATCTTCATAAAAGAGTAAATTCTTATGGCGGCTCCATAATTATATTTTTGTGATTGTAGCTTGGTACAATTAGTTGTAAAACGTTTGTTTGGATGTGAAGTTTAGTACCAAGGTCAATGATTTCTTCCATAGTTACCGGGATCTCCTACTTTGTTACGTGATCCCTTCTAGGATCTCGATTCTGCCTCTCTCGGAACGGATCTGTCAGGGATCTCGATTTTTAAATTTTGGGATCTTGAACCCCAATGATAGGGATCTCGATTCTTGCAATTAGGGATCTCGATCCCAACCTTAAAGACCAAGACAACAACCAAACTGATAATTTTTTTTGTTTATAACTAACTAGCAACACAACTATTGTTTGCTGACTATCAATAATGAGATCCCTATTTTAAAGAGTATACATAATTCTAGATTATCATACACTTTAAGGTTGGTAACAAGATCCCCAAAAAAATGGGATCAAGATCTCAAAAGTCAGGATCAAGATCCCCAAAAGGTTGGAATCTCGATCCCTAACATTTGGGCTCTCGATCCCTAACATGTGCATTGTACGGACGACGTTTCCAACCATAGGGATCTTCTAGCATTTCACAATCCCTCGCTCCCAATACTGATCTCGATACTGTTCCCACTCTTCATTCCGGTACCATTCCGGCTCCCGATCCTAACAACTATGGTTTCTTCTTCTAAAACGTTGCTAATCTGGATGGGGTGTCATGGAGTTGTGGAGGCATGCTAAGGTCTCAGAGAGTTGGTAGTGTTTAGTTGGTTCGTGAGCCTTTTGGAAGACATCTTAAAACTGAGTAGAGTGCTAATAATAAGAACTGGGTCTGGATAGTTGTTTTGTTTTCTTGATAAAGTTAAGTCTATGCATATCTTCCTAGTTTAGCCTAACTTCGTCCCTCACCTGACTGGTGTGAGGCATCGGAGCTTTGTGAAGCACCAAACCTTAGCTGGCTACTCTGCTTTAATAAAATCCGCACAGTAATACGTTATACACTGTGGATTTGCCAGGGTTGTCTCCCTCGTAGTGAACCCTAAAGGGAAATTCCCTAGAAAAGTCCTTTTGGAAATGCTTAACAAATTTCAATTCCTACCCATCAACATCACTTTCAGAAACCCCTTGAAAGATGATCCCTGAGATTTCTCATTCTTTCTTCAAGATGTTTTGCATGAAGTGGCTGATACTCAGGACTGTTATGTCTCCAACAGATGGCTCATGGTACGTTCCTAGCCAGAGTCTGTGTTCTTTGCAAAGTAACCTTTATGCCATTTTTCGGGGAATATGGAACGAGTGCATTCCTGTTTTTGTTTTGGATGAAGTAACTCTATTGATTTTATTAGGTGTACAAAACTGTTGTGAGGTGTACAAAATTGAGGTTAACAGAGAATGGAATTTGTTTGTACAAGAGGGTTGATGTGCTCAAAATGAGAAGCTCAGCTGTCTTCTACTGTTTGTGGTTGGGAGACGAGCACGTACAGTTCGGTGACCCCTTCGTTGGCCAGAGAGGCGGCTATGAAATTTGCCTCTCTCCAAGTGTGGTTGAAGGAAATTCTTATGGACCGGCAGATGTGAAAAATGTGATCCTCTCCAATCATCAGAGGTGGTGTGAAGCGCTTGTGGCGTATGTTATGACATTATGAGTCATTCTCCAGCACTAGTTTCTGACCTCAGGAGTGATTGAGAGCCTGGAGCTCAGTCAGTAAGCCTTGGAGTTCAGCATGGTTGGAATCTGTGATACGTGCAGGGCTGGCAAAACTAAGGAGGGTACGCTCTTTGTGATCTCTAAAGATACCACCAATCCCCGCAGGCCTCAGGTTACCCAAGGAACTTCCGTTGAAATTTAGCTTAATAAGACCCTGACGAGGTGGGTTACAATGAGATTTATCTTGAAGTTCACAATGTTATTGTCATTTTCTTAACTTGTATATACTTTTTTGTCAAACATTTTCAATCTTTTGTGAACCTCAAGGCAGCAGCACAATATATTATATGGCATTCACCACTAACATCTCAGTACCTACTATTTTTGTTTGGGGCACATTTCTAGCCCTTAAGCGACCCATCTATGATCCCAAGGGACTTTATGTTTGTGCTGTCACATTCAATAAGATGGACTGAGTCGATCGGCAATAACTGGTTTGTTTTAACCTTCTGATTAGGGTATATGGCTAGTTTGTTTTCTCAGCTTTTTGATATATTAAGCTGCTTTCCTTCTAATCTCTAGAGTTGTATATTGGGTGCTTTTGCTTAAAGTGTTGCAGTACAAGGTTGATAACGATTCTATGTTTTTTGTTCATTATGATAGTGATATGTTCCATCTCATTAGCATGTTGCGACCTCATCACTGCAGGTCATGAGTTTCTTTGCTACTGCCGAGCATGAGAAGGAAAGACTTCAATATTTTGCGTCCCCGGAAGGACGAGATGATCTCTACCAGTACAATCAAAAGGAAAGAAGAACAGTCCTTGAGGTGAATACCTTTTGTGCCTTAGAAAAAAGTTGATGTACTTTTGTTTGGTGAGTAATTTCAATTTACTGTAATAAAGTTTTAGATGTGATTAGAAGCATCTTTGAGAGTTGAAAAAAATTTCATTGGAACTACTATTATCTATCATTGTGTTTCACTTGTTTTCAAGCCTTCTATGTACTGCATTATGGGTACGGAAAGAAAATTCGATACAAGATAGATTGCATCACAAGCATAATAAACAATATCATGCTACTCCATGTTTTCATGTTATGTTATTTCCCATACCATCCTTTGAATCAAAATGAAAGAGGAGTTGTTTTTTTTTTTTTGAGAATGTTAACACAAAATGAAAGAGTTGTTGACCACTGTTAATTGTACAATCCTGGTCATTCCATCATACTGATTTTTATATAACAACAGATGATCAGACTCATAAATATAAGTGTATGTGATGTGTCTATGCTGATGATGCCAAGATAAATGAACCTTCTGCCATCCTTTGATTCCAGATAGAATCTTCAATAATGAGAAGAAAAAGGAATAAAGTAATGATTTAAGATATGGATAGGTCTAAAAGATGTATACGTCCTTGACTCAGTAGTTCATTTGCTATCCTCAAAGAATATAACATTTTGTGGAATTCTGCATGATTCCCAAGTGAATGTCAGACCTGCTTTCTCTATGTTGGCCCTAGGAATCATTTATATCTTTTTGGAGAACTGAGGAGCTGTATCTATTCTGTGGTAATTGCTTTTTCTTCAGGTGCTAGAGGACTTTCCATCGGTGCAAATGCCATTTGAGTGGTTTGTACAATTAGTTCCCCCACTTAAAACCAGGCTCTTTTCCATCTCCTCCTCACCTTTAGCTCATCCCGATCAAATTCACTTGACAGTGGCTGTGGTAGCTTGGACGACACCTTTCAAGAGAAAGAGGCATGGCCTGTGCTCCACATGGTTAGCCGGACTCGATCCTCAAAAAGGTATTCTGCTCCTTCCATCCAAACCAAAAGTGGTATAATGACTTGCCATATGTATGTCCAAATTTAATTTGCATATGGATAGCCTGAAAACCAAAATGATAGAGAGAGCAGCAATTCAAAAGGAGAGGGAGACCGTGTGTGTGTGTGTGTGTGATAGAGAGAGAGAGAGAGAGAGAGAGAGAGAGAGAGAGTAGTAATAGACACACTACTACTAGATACTATAGACAATAGTAGTACTTCCACGACGACCGTACTCTC